TTGTTAAAATTTCTACACTACCCAAAGCTATCTGCAGATTTAATGTGATCCATATCAAAAATACCAACAGCATTTTTCACAGAACTAGAATAAACAGTACTAAAATTTGTATGGAACCATGATATCTCGAATAGCCAAAGCAATGTTGAAAAGAAAAAGAAAGACAAAACTGTCGGTATCACAATTCCAGATTTCAAGTTATATTACAAAGTGGTACTAATTAAAACAGTATTGTACTGATTAAAAATAAACACACATATCGACTGAGTAGAAACCCCAGAAATGAACCCACAATTATATAGTGAATTCATCCTCGACAAATGAAGAATGAATATTCAATGAGAAAGACAGTCTCTTCAACAAATGGTGTTAGGAAAACTAGACAGAAACATGCAAAAGAATGAAACTGGACCACTTTTATCATACACAAAAATACCCCAAAATGGATCAAAGACCTAAATGTGAGATCTGAAACCATAAAAATCCTTGAACAGAGCACAGGTAGTAATTTCTCTGACACTGTCTGTAGCAACATTTTTCTAGATATGTTTCCTGAGGCAAGGGAAATAAAAAAACAAAAATTAACTATTAGGATTACATAAAAAGTTTGTGCACAGTGAAGTAAACAAAACTAAAAGGTAACCTACTAAGTGGGAGAAGACATTTGCAAATGATGTATGCAATAAAGGGTTAGTATCCAAAATCTATAAACAATTGACACAACACCACCCCAAACACAAATAATCCAATTAAAAACTGGGCAGAAGACACGAACAGACATTTCTCAAAAAAAGACATACAGGTGGCCAACAGACACCTGAAAAGATGCTCAATACCATTCATCATCAGAGAAATGCAAATCAAAACTATAATAAGGTATCACCTCACACCTGTTAGAATGGTTAAAATCAAAAACAAGAAACAACAAGTGTTGGATGTAGAGAAAAAGGAACCCTCGTGCACTGCACTGTTGGTAGGAATGCAAACTGGGCAGCCAGTGTGGAAAACAGTATGGAGGTTCCTCAAATTAAAAATACAACTACCCTACAATCCCGTGATAGCACTACTGGGTATTTATCTAAAAAATACAAAAGCACTAATTCCAAGGGATGCACATACTCCTATGCTTATTCCAGTATTTACAATAGCCAAACTACAGAAGCAGCCCAAGTGTCCACTAATAGAAGAATAGAATATTATTCAGCCATAAAAAGGAATAAAATCTTGCCACTGGCAACAACATGGATAGGTGCAGAGAGTATAATGCTAAGCAAAATAAGTCAAAGACAGACAAATATCATATGATCTGATATGTGGAACTTAAGAAACAAACAGCAAAGGAAATAGACAAATCAAGAAACAGACTCTCGACTATAGAGAACAAACTGATGGTTATCGGAGGTGAGGTTGGTGGGGGATGAGTGAAATATGGGATGAGGATTCAAGAGTACACTTATCATGATGAAAGGAAAAGCAACATCAGAAATAAGTTCTAAAAGCAGTAGTTAAAATGAATATAAACATTTTAAACTTAACTGAAGACAGACTCCCACCCCTCTTTGCCATCTTCACCTGCTCCCCCTGCAGACACATTAGCATTTGAGAAAGTAAACGCATGGAGTAATTGGTGTGCCTGGAGCCCAGGTACAATGGTGAGGGGTGCCACCGTGAAGCAGCCCTACTGCAGAGCAAATGAAGTGGTGACTGGCTGGAATGGTAAGGAGACTGATTACATTGTACAAATAAGTGATTCGGAAATTAAGTACATATACTGAGAATAATGGGAACCAGATTTTTCACTGTTCTGTAAAAGGATTTATGAATATTTAAAGGGAAAAGGCTAGAAAGAACCCCAATGGTTTGAATTGAAATTGGAAGAATTGGTAAGAACTCACAGGCTAAACAGGTAGATGGATAGTTGTACATAGTTATATGTATTTGTTTATGGATTGACTGATTCATAGGAAAAGAAAATTTTCCTTAGTAGCAATGAGCACCAACTGCTAAGGCATTAGGTGCCACTACTGATTCCAAGATTATGGCAGGGAAGTACACAATCATCTTGGAACATCTTGTTTTGACTAAGTAAATGCTGAAAAAATGATGGGGACATATCAGAAGGACATAGGAGCCAGCCAGAAGAGGCTTCCACTGGTTAAATCTATTTTAAAACAAATAAAGAGAGCATCCGATTATAACCTAATGAATAAAATAGGAATCCATGAGTCTATACTGATATAAACAAGAGAGTAAAAAGGACGACTATAAATTCTTTATAAAATATCTAACAACATGGGGCAAAAATGATGGGAAAATACTACCAAGCAAACATTAACTAAAGGAAAGGTAGGGGATCAATATTTATAGTGACAGAATTCAATGCAAAAAAGAAGGGTTAGGGATTATATACTGATAAGAAAGAGAAATTAATCAAGAAAAATGGATATTAGAGTACCTTTTCAAAAACAGCCTGAAAACTGACAAAATTTCAGGCAAGGAAAGGGAGGGTGGATAACACTTAGTTAAAAACAGAAATGAGAAAACACCTACAAACAGACTAATGATAAAATCTTGTCTGAAGGTGGGAACACCACTAAAGAACTAAGAAGGAAAAATTGATTTGAAATCATTTTCATGAAATCATTTTTAGCAATAAGAATGCTTAATAATGAAGGACGCAATCATTCAACAATTTAAAGAATGAACTAAAAAACAAAAAGAATGGTAATAAAAATGGTAATAAAACCATAAATAAGTAGAAAACACAAGTCTGAAAAAAAAAAAAAAAAAAAAAAGGTTCTTTGAAAAGACCCTTAGATAGCAAATACAGAATGGAAGAAGGGAAAAATTACAAACCATGTTAATAAAGCTGAACATATAGATGAAACTTATGAAAATTACAGAGAACTAGAAAATTGCAGAGAAAACATAAGATATAAAAATCCAAACTGACATCAAAAATTTGAATAGAACAGTGATCAGTAAGTGAATTAAAATGGCAAAGACCTCCCCTTTGAGGGATAAAAAAATTAATAAGAATAGTAATTTTTACAGTTTGAGTATACTTTCAATAACAGAAATTTTCTATACATTCCACACAATGGAAAAGGAATAAAACTTGCTCACTCTTTTTGAGTCTAGTCTAACGGTGATTCCAAAGTCAGTTGACAATTCAAGAAAAAAAAAAAAAAGTATTTCACCGTGAGTACAAATACAAAAATAAAATACTAGTTACCCAAACCCAAAGGTATGTACATATTTTTAAACTAATAAGGGTTTATCCAGGGAATGCAAAACCACTGATCATAAGAAAATCGATGTGTTTCATAACATTAATAAAGGCAAAAAAAATGACTATTACAATAAATGTCAAAAAAAGCATTTGACAAGTTCAACACTTCTTTATAATTGAAAGAAAAATTCATGGCAAACTAGGAATAAAAAGGAATGTCCTTGGTAAGGGTTATATATCTAATCCAATAGTATATATATAAAATACATGAACAATTAAGATTTCATTAAGGAATGCAAGGATGGTTTGATATCAGAAAAATCCATCAACGTATTTCACTAAGGATACAAATTATATGATTATATAGACACAAAAAATGCATTTGATAACAATCTTTTATTTAATGGATGGAGGGGAGATTTTTTAGTAAAAGCTATCAAAACCTTCTTAACTTGATGTTTAAGACTGCTTTCCAGAATGGATATACAGTTGACCCTCAAAAAAACAAGGGTTTGAACTACACAGGTCCACATATACATGGATTTTTTGGTAGTACAGGGCTGTAAATGTATTTTCTCTTCCTCATGATTCTCTTAATAACATTTTCTTTTTTCTACCTTACTTTATTGTAACACAGCATATAATACATAAAACATGCAAAATATGTGTTTAATCAACTTTTTATATTAACAGTAAGGCTTTTTATATCAACAGTAGGCTACTAGTAGTGAAGTTTCTGGAGAGTTAAAACTTATACTTGGATTTCCAACTGTGCAGAGATAATTGCCCTAATCCCTGCATCATTCAAGGGTCAACTGTACAGTTCATTTATTCTTGCAATATGTAAGGGTTTTTAAATCCCAACAACAGTACACTTGACATTATCCATTTTTCCAATCTGTCCAGTCTCAAGGACATGAATTGATAGGTCTGAAGAGAAACTCCATGATTACTAATGAGTCTGAACATTTCTTCATATACTTGTTACCCTTTAGGTTTTTCTTCTATGAAGTATTTGTTATTCTTTGTTCAGATTTCTTTACAATTCAGCACTCTGGGGTATATTCTAAATATATATCATTGGGTAGTTTTGTGTATACGGATTCCTGCTTTTTGAAGGTTTGTTAGACCACTTTATTTTTACAAAAGACTTACATTAGCACGTGTTTTTGCTAACCGAAAGATATCAGAAGAGGATTCACACTCTTACAAAAAAAGGCACAATGCGAAAACAGTGTTGAGTTTATTTTACAGCTAGCCCTTACAGAGGCAGTGCGCATCCCAAGGAATGAGAGTGGCCTGCCAAGCTCCTTTCCCAGGAGCACACTCAGTGGCTCAGCATCAACCATCTAAGTCTCCATAGCTTTGGATGTGTCTGTGAGCATCGGTGCTTTATCTTGATTTATTTTCTGTATCTGTTAGCAAGATGTGCCCTGAAATGTCAGGACAACCTAAGAGAGGTTATTTTGGGGTCTGGGAGTATTAAAAAATTTTCCATTACAAATTAATGGTAATTGCTTCTCCATTCTACACCATTTTGGTTTACTAAAGGTTTCATAGGAACACTTACTTTCAGATAGAGGGAAAACCTGTATCTTCCCTAAGCCTGTTATTTGTCATCTTTTATTGACAAACATCTTTAATTTTGATATAGAATTAATATCTAAGTTTTCTCCATATAGTTTCTGCTTTGGAGTTTATTTAAGAAGCTCTTTCTGTCCCCCAGATCACATTATTCTCCATATTTCTATTAATTTTATAATATTACCTTTCACATTTAAGACCTTTAGTCCATTGAGAGACCATCTTTGGACATGATCCGAGTTAGGTATCCTGTTTTTCTCCATGTAAAAAGCCAGTTTACCAACACCACCTACTAAAACAAACACAGGATATTTGTATGTTACTTAATTACTAAATACTTTACAGCTTTCACTGCTACTGTGAATAGTATCTTTTCCTTTTAATTACATTATCTAACTGGCTGCTGCTCTAGTGTTTTTTGTAATACACACATGCACCTGAACCTCTGAAAATACGACTTAAAAATAATGAGTTTCAGGGATGCCCTAGCTGGCTCAGTTGGTGAAGCATCCAACTCTCGATCTCAGGGTCATGAGTTCAAGCCTCGTTTTGGATGTAGAGATAACCTTATAAATATAAATAAGATAAAGTAAAAATGAGTTTTATTTCTCTTCCCAATACTGATATTCTCTTTTTCTTTCCTTATAGTCTAAATCAGAATTTCTAGTTCTATGTTAAGCAGTAACAGGATACTGGGCACAGTAAGTCTTAGTTAGGATACCAGTTTGGTAACCAAACTTTACTAGAGACCAAATAACAATGACTGAATAAGATGGAAGGTATCTTATTTCTTTTTAAATGTTTTTTTTATTTTGAGAAAGTGTGCATGTAAGTGGGGGAGGGGCAGAGAGAGGGAGAGAGAAAATCCCAAGCAGGCTCTGTGACGTCAGCGCAGAGCCTGACACAGGGCTCAACCTCACCAACAGTGAGATCATGACCTGAGCCGAAACCAAGAATCTAAGGCTTAACTGACTGAGCCACCCAGGTGACCCAAAAGGTTTCTTTCTTATGTGAAGGACTGAGCTAGCAGGCAGTTCAGGAGATACGTGGCTCTGCCTTATGAAGTTTAATGTGCTTTTGATATTCTGCCCTTTCCCACATAGATGAAACAAGTTTGCCATGAGCACACACACATTCTGGCCCGTGGAAAAGAGGCAATTACAAGACGAAGGCAAGCCCTTTCCTTTTAAGGATGTGGCCTGCTAGTTGTAAACTACTGTTTCTATCCCACTGGTCAAAACTCAGTCCCATGTTCCAGTTGCAAGGTAGCCCGGAAAATACTGTCTCTTACCAATGAAACTACTGCCTAGCTAAAATGTGAGGGAACAGGGTTTCTGTTACTGAAGGAAGAAGTGGGGAGACGTATACTGTACAGCTGTCTTGCTCCCAAGTGATGCTATATAACCATTATCAAGTAAACGAAATTTCATTAGGAGTTTCTCTAATTGAAAAAAGGTATACCACATATATCTTCTTTGCAATGTAGTAAGTATATCAATGGATTTTTGTGATGTTGATTACTATTCGTATGCATATAGGCACATGAGTGAAGAACTTATGACTGTACATAGTATTTAGTTATAACAAATATTTGACTCAAATCATATAGGGAATTCTGTTTTGCAGAACCTGAAGCACCGAAATAGTGAAAATTCAGGCTGCAGGAAGGGGATTAACATCAATTTTAAATCTTGCTATACATGCCTAGCAATCTGCATGTTATAATAAGAAATCCATAACATCTGAAAGCCTACCATGAGCCAAACTTATAAAAGAGTTATTACTATTCCCACTTTATAAGTAAACTGAGGCACACAAAAGTAATTTACTTAAAGCTATACAACCAGTAAGTGAAAAGACTAGGCTCCAAAGCCTCAGCTCTTCCTACTCTGTTAACAATGCCTCTCAGTGATTATTTTTTTCAACAGTGGTAACACATAGGAAGAACTGGGGGAATCAGTGCTTAATTCTTCCCTAAAATTTCAACTCAGTAACATAGGGAACCTTTTTATCTGCATGTAAAATTAAATTCTAATTTCTAGTAGAAAACTGGGATTAATATACAGAAATTCATTTTACTGTAGACTTTTTGGAAAACTCCTGTTTTATAAAATTAGGGATGCCAAAAGGCAGCAGATAGAAACAGTCCGTATGGAATTTGAAGGTGTTTGTACAATACCAAGGCGGAGCAAGAATCTAAGGAAAATGCAAGTTAGTCTGACATTTCCAAGATAAATATATATACATATATATATATATATATATATACACACACATATATATATGTATATATATATATACACACTTAAGAATGAGTACATATTCTTTATTCCAGTCTCTCAAGTTCAAAATCACTCAAGGTAAAGTGATGCAAGCAAGCTTTGTAAATCTCAAAAAAGTTTGCCTGAAATGAAATATATATGTGAAATCTGGGATTACTGGCTATCAAGGCTTTGCATATAGTTAACTAAAAACAGGCACAAGTCTTTTGATGGAAAAAGACAACAAGTGAAAAGACTTTGCAATGAAACAGTCTGTTTACTGGACTTAAGTAAACACCAAATAATTTATTTCCTGAAAACTGCTCTTTCTTTGTAATATACCATCTGTTGGCTCATACCAATAAGGCTAAACAGAAAAAAATATTTAAAATTCGTTCAAGACAAAGAAAAGGAATAACTCACCCATCAAATACAAATATACTATTTTATTCTAAGGGAATATTTCTGTGGTTTCTGCAAGGGGAAAACCCAAAGTGGTTAAAAAACAAAAAAGAACGGAAAGGATAATTTAGATGTTTCTCTCGTTTGTTTGATGTTTTCTCCCCTGGAAATAAAAATGCAATTTTACATAATTTTAATAAAATTTTAAAAAGCAAATAGTCTGACACACATATCAACAGCTACGCTTATGAAGAATGACCAATAATTAATCAAAATTTTCTTTTACGAATTTAGGATCTGGACAACTCTGCGGACTAACATGCAATTGAAGTCCTGATACAGTCATTTACCTGGGTATTGGCTGTTCTCAGTTAAAAGATACAGATTTCTTTTTCTCTCTGGTGTTTTATAACAATGTATCTACTATGCCAACAATATTTGTTCTTGATACAACTACAGAAGGGGAAATGTTAGTGTTTATACAAACCATAAAATTTGTATAGTGGGGGCTATTACACCTGATGTTTCTGGATAGTTTATTGGCAGACTTATCAGACAATCCAGTTGTTTTTCCTCCATATCAAACAAGATCTGGAAGTAAGAAGTTTTCCAGTCAGAAATGACAAACACAGATGGAATTAATCATACAGAATTGGGGCAGATTTACTTCTTTCACACAGTTCCTGGTAACCAAAATGAAATTTGTTACAGGCAGAGGGACAGAACCATCAAGTACACAACGCCAAGAGGCCTACTTTAAAATTTTTATTTTACTTAAATGACTTCCATTTATTTTAAAAAACCAAAACACCTGCTACGCCCATCTAAAAAAACGGGACAGATTGAAAAGTTTTCCAAGGTTAAAATTACTAAGAGGGTTTTTGGACTCTTCTCATTTCTATTACAGGGTCAAATTAACCTCAGCTAAAGAAATTCTGTGACTGGCCAACATCAGAAAAGCTTTGAGTCAAAATTTGGGGGGGAAGAAACTGCGAATGGAGATGAGGGAGATGGACTGATATGCCAAACACACCTATGACTTGCAGTCCTCACAGAACTAGTAAAACAGCTAGAGTTTGGAATAATGCTAGAAGCCCTGCTGTGGATATGCAAGACAGTCCATGTCTTTGTATCCTGACCCCAGAATCCCTATTTTCAAGTTTCTTAGGACAACAAGGTCATCCTCCAAATGCTTTATAGGAACGTACTAGGACCTTTTCTACCATAATTCTGATAACTAAGTAATACTGTGTCCTTGTGGAATCATCCACAGGTTTGCCAGAGTGAGAGAGACTTTTCTTTTTGAAATGACAAGGGCCTCCAGAAACTGGTGCAAAAGACAAATAAGAAGATTTGGGAAATAGGAAGATAAAACAATGGGAGAAAAGCTGCCATTTGGGGATAAAATGAAAACAAAAGGAGAACCCCCATTTCTGTGTACCACAGCTCATGCTATGAGACAGCAGCAATAAAGGCTGACACCCAGAGAAGTGGGCATTTTAGTGGGTTTTCTACAAACATTTCAAGACACTTGGGGTCTAATGGGCTCCACAGATTTTCTGTGTGCATAATCAGTTTGTGGAGTATCAGCCCCTTTACCTCAATTTACCCACAGCCAGACCCACAGCTGAGAAGGCTAGACCCAGAAAGTGAAAGGGACATATTACTCTGTGAACAGCAGTGAAGGCCTTTTTCCCTGATGTGAGGGGCCTATGGCAAAAGCACCAGAGGCTTCTATCCTTCACAGAATTGGCTTGGCAGTGAAAATCAAAATCAAGACCACTTCACTCTCTACCTTTTAAAAAAAAAGTTGAGTATTTTTATTGGGTCTTCAAGTCTGGGTCCCACGGTCCTCATCTGATGTCACTCTTAGCTCTGCACTGACTTCTCCCCTGACGTGCACATAGGGCTTGCCTAAGTAGCCTACTGCAGCCAAGGTCTTACTCCAAAGCTACCTCTCTAAGGTCTAAGGTTACTATGGTAGAGTTTTATACAACAGTTTTCCTTAAAAATATTCCACAATTTGTTATTCCCAAACAAAATAAGATTATGCACCACTCAGAGAAATTGGTTAGTCATTCTGAAGATGTCTAAGAACTCTATCACTGCCAAAGAACAACATTTCTTGGTTCATATTCTTTCCTTCAATTTTCATTTGTACATCCACACTGTGGTTCACGAGTCATCTGTTTTCCATTATCTTGTAATCAAGTCAAGAGGACTTGTACTTGTACATCGTTTTCCAAAGCTGGATGCATTCACAGTTTGGTGCATACCCACGTGTATGAAAATAGGAACCCCACGTCCACTTTAATCTGATAACTCAACATCAGAGTCTTCTGATTTGGCTTTGGCAAGTTCTTCGTGTACCTCCCTCACCATGAGAATACGTGTTAACATGGTGTCCAGGGTCCCAGGGTCTATTGGGAATGTGGAGTACCACATGGGGCTGTTCGGAACACAGGAGCGCTCAGGTTGCAGGTAAAACACGTCATTCCTCTGCTTCACACTTTCAGAACTATCCACAGGGGATAAAAAAGAAAGAAAGAAAGAAAGAAACTAAGAAAATTGAGGATCAGAAAGTATAGGAAATACGTAACTACTCTTTAATATAGTGACTCTCACCTTTTTCCCTACTGTGACTAATGTCCTAGATAAGCAATGTACCCACTGAGATAAATCAGTTTACAGGCATCTTCCCCCCAGGTGCAACCGGTAACTGCACATTTTTTTTCTCCTACGCTCACTGGAGGTGAGTGTAATGTTAACAGAAGACACAGTGTAAATCGTTCACAAATTGAAAGATTTAAAACATTATTAGGAGTAACAAAAAATTCAACTCACATGTAACACTATGGCTGAGAACCACATATCCTCAGTGCCCAGTATCCTGG